CCCCAAAACCCCAAAACCCCAAAACCCCAAAACCCCTAAATTGTAACAAAATATTGAATATAATACTAAAATGTACGCCTACAGGCCTATTCCTAGCTCACTCTGGTATAGATGCTTCATTCAACAAGGACCAAATTTCAAAAACCCAAAATTCTCCAAAAGAAGAGCCCATTAAAGGTAAAAACAAGGCTTAGCACAATGCTGCACTTAGAAGTGACCAAAATAGTGCAGAATTATTTAGGTAAATATCTATCAAAACCCCATCTAGAGCCCTTCAGAAGCCAGATCTCCACCCTTGAGACTAAAGTTATAACCCTCCAGGCTAAACTAGACAAAGGCCGGAAGCTCAACGATGATTCTTGGACAAAGGAGAGAAATAATGAATCCCAAATTATGGATCCAGAATGGAAGAGCAAAAGTGCCCGTAACAATCTACATAGAGTCAGAAACAGGAGCGCTACTTCGAAGCTGGGAAATATCTCAAGGTAAGCCAATGACTGAATTTGTAGGACTTCAGATAAACTTGACCAACAAGACACTATAAATCTGCTGAAGTCTCACCTCAAAGGGAATTTGAACGATGCTAAAAAGATCACTAACTTAAACTCTTCTGCCTTAGAAGCCTATAGGGCAAAAAGAAGGACACTCAGGGCTTCAAAGGAGTTTCCTAGGAATCAAGAGCCAGGATCTGTAAAGATATCACTAAATGAAATCCCAATAATGCATACGCAAAGCAAGATCAGCCTTGAGGATAGGAAAGGAGTGCCTCAGAGCAAAAGAATATTCCTGACCTATCGACAATCTCCAATCAAGCCAGTCTCTCTTAACAAGCCTTCTTTTAGTATTGGAATAAAGGACCTCAAAAGAAGTGTAACAATGATGCGCAAGGAATCTCTCAATGATAAATAATGGGACTCAGTCCCCGGAAACTTTCTTTACTGCAACTCTGAATGATTCACAAGAGTAAGCACCCACTTTATCATGTCTAGAGAGGAGACATGTCAGTGAGAAGGAGGTTTCTCAACTCCTCCGAAGGCTTATTGCAATCAGTTTTGTAAATATCTATCACCTGATCAGCAACTTAAAATAATAGCGACAGAGAGCACTTGTAAAAATGAAGATTCTCTTGAAGGAGAATACGCTATAAACTCAGAATGGTGGCGAGCCTGGTGAGACTACGTCAATATAGAATTTCAGCAGGCCTTCACTATATCCATACCTGATACCAAAGAGTGCCAATCTTCAAGGAAAAGACTGACAGAGTTATTTGTACCTGCAGAGAGAAAAGCAGTTCTGGGCTCAAGTAATAACAGACCTTACCCTTTAGACCAAAACGAGCTAGTTTCATTTATCAGCTCAAGCAACAATGGAGGAAGAAGCTCATGTAGTACAGTTTTTGGCCTCTAAAAAGCTCTGTATAGATGGGACAGCCAAAGAGATGCATACCACAAACCTTCTGTGTCATGAAGAGCTTTATCAAAGACCAGGTAAAATCAACAACAAGCCAATTTGCGATAAAAGGATTGACGGGGATATCCTACTATGTGAAAATTTACAAGAAGTAAGCCAGCCTAGCTGACCTAGTAGGTCCATGACTATGTAAGGGTAAACCAAGCTGCCTGGAGATACTTAAAATCTTGGTACGGCTGCGATCATGAGCTATGGGTATAATAAATAACTGGAAGGAAATTATAAGATTGTTGATGATAGCACAAAGGTGGCTTTCTACCAAGAAATTTATGTTAAGATATTGGTTTTAAATCACTTCTGGATGAAAAGGTTTACTTTATTTTTTTGAGAAAATTAAAAATGATAGCATATGTAAAAAAATTGTGAAAATAGTCTATAAGAGGCTATATTTATTTTAAATACCTAATAGCCCCAAAGAGTGTCTGGGGTTTTGGGGTTTTGGGGTTTTGGGG